GGGAGTCACGACGACGTTGCTCATGGAGGTGCGGAGGAGGAGGAGGATGGGTCGGCGGGGTGACCCACCAATCAAGGTCGAGGCGGTCGGACCAGGTGGCGTCAGCGCGCGTCAGCGACACAACAAATCTGCTGCTAGCCGCGATCGAGCCGAGATCCAAGTCGTTTCATGTCTCCTTCCTGAAATCGCGGAAAAAACCCACCAAAGCTCTCGACTGTTCTCTCTACGCTCGCACGCTCGCAATGTGTGTGGCCTCACACCATATTATGTTCTCCACGATAGGTATTGCGGTCATGTCGCCCCCCCCCCTCTCTTTTCCCTTCCCCTCCAATATGCATTGTGCGACGTGCGACGACCCCTCGGCGTCATCGCCATCGTATAAAACATGACGGTGGTGGTGGCGCCACGGGCGCGCGGCATAGGCAGCGGGAGGACTTTGGCCGCAGGCGGGCCCCGTCCTGGGGCGGCGCGGCGTCCCGGCGGCCTGAGCAGCACGGCCCGTGTCGCCGCGGCGCGCGCTGCCCGCGGCTCCTGTCGGCGGGGGTGGGGCACTACCCTGCCTGGACCTGGACTACTAGCTGCTTGCACTTTCTACTGGTACCCGTCTGCGGCTGGACTGGCCGTATTAGCCAGTATGGGTGGGGCAGGGCGGGGCAGGGCGGGGCAGGGCGGGGACGGCGTGGCAGACCGCCTCCAGCAGCGCGGCTGCTCTTCGGCCGCCAGAGCGCTGGAGGCTGGAAGTGGCCACCAGATCGCTGGAGGCTTCTAGTGGCCGCCAGAGCACTGGAGGCTCGGAGTGGCCGTCGTCGGAGGCTGAGAGTTGGCCGCCAGATCGCCGGAGGCTTCTACAGTAGCGGCCGACAATGCGCTGGAGGCTGTGAGTGGCCGCCACACGCGTGTTGGTGTCGCCACTACCCACACTGCACACTTGCAGCTGCGAGGTTGAGCAAGTCGGTCATTATTATTGTTTTGTCTCGGCGGGGGTTTCGCCACCGGGGGCGTGGTGGCGTGACCCGCTCCGCCCGTCCGCCTAGCCTTGTCCGCGCACCGGACACTTGAAGCGCGCGCTGTCGTGCTGTCGTGTCGTCCTCCCTCTCGTGCGCGACGACGTCCTCCCGTCCCGCGCGGTCATCTCCCGTTGTTGTCCCCGCGTCTCGCGGGCAGCTACTGCTGCTGCCGTTCTCACTTCCGAGTCGGCATCAGCCTTATTTATGGCGACTTGGCGGCGCTCCAGCGGCAGCGCCCGGCTGCCCCCGACAGGCTCCGCGGCATGTTGATGAGCCTCGCGATGCGCTGATTGGCGCCGCCGCCGCCGCTCTCACGCCGCCGGCCGCTCCGCTCGCCGACACGACACGCGCGGCGAGAGAGGTGTTCGCCTCGTCGCGGCCGCGGCCCGGGCTTCCCCCCCAGGCAGGCGGCTCGCGAGCATTGTCCCGCGGGGCCGGTGGGGCGACCTTGACCAGCGCCTCATTTGACCTTTGCGGAAGCGGTAGACGGGGTGGGGAGGGATGCGGGTCAATGGGGTGTGTTCCGCTGCGACCAAACCCGGAATCCAAACAAAAAAGAACGTCATGCATGAGAGCCCGGCTCCTGTTTTTTCTTCCAAAAAGCTGGCTGGTCGAGGGTGACGTCGTCAGTGTCGCTGTCACCCAATGAGCACGCAGGAGGAAGCAGATCCGGCGGGCAATTTTTCTCCTTCCGATTCCGGTTTCCATCCTGCGGAATAGTACCCTATCCGCAGAGGGAAGAGAGAGGGTGGATCGGGTGGGGTAGTAGCTGGTCCGGTGGGTGTAGTTGTGGCGTGCCCAGGCCGGGGCCTCCTCGCACTGCACGCGGCACTGCCCTGCGGCTGCATGCTGCAGCTGTCGCACCTGTCGCAGCTGACACACCTGTCGCGCCCGCCTCGCCAGCAAAGGCGGGGAAAGCAAGTCACCGGGGTGCGAACAGCTTCCGGCCCGGGTCCACCGACCCGCCGCGCCGGTCGTAAGCTTATTGCCGGTGAGCGAGCCCCCTTGTAAAGGCTCACCTGCCCCGCGCCACCATATAATACCGCGGCGCATCACATGACTCCCCGGCGGAGCGGTTCGCCTTCTGCCTGCGCGCCCGCCGAGGTCGCGGGCGTCTGCAGGCGCTCACACCACCGGCGGCGTGGTTCGCGGAGGAGCGGCTCGCCTGCAAAGCCAGCCGCACCCTCGCCACACGCGCGCTTCTTCATCACCTTCAGAAGCAACGCCCCCATTACAGTTCGGCAATCAAATTTAATGTCAACTAAGTACCCGAAGGTTGCGGACCCCTCCTCGTCGTCGCCCGACCCCGACACGCGTCGGCAGAACATCCACGTGTGCCACACACTACGCACCCAACTGAGCCTCAGATTCGCACCTCTCCCATTATGTGTGTTTGTTGATGAATTTTCGAGGAGGGATCTTTTTGTTGCGTGGACTGGTCTCCGGCGGCGCGGGGTTCGGATCTCGTCTGGCGGGTGGGCGAGTAGTACCGCCTTGGGCACCAAAGCAGACATGCGAGTGCGCGTTTCTCAGCAACTTCTTTTGCGAGATGCGAATCTTTATCTTATACGTTTGATGGCAGATTGGCAGCTAAAGCTAACTTGCTTGTTTCTCGCCCACCCCGCGATCTCTGACACGGCCCAAGGTCAGGGGACGGCTGGGAGCGGAGGAGAGGGGAGGAGGAGTACCTGCAGCTCATTAGTGCCAATAACCCAAAGTCGAAAATCACAAAAACAAAACTGCCTGTCGTGTCGATGAAGAGGTTGTTGTTATGCTGAATCTAGAAACAGCGAGAAACCGACAAACATATTCGTGTGATGAGTCTTTGTAGCATTTCGTTTCCCAGTCCAAAAAACTATTAGGGAGTACAGTAACTCCTCTGTGAGCTCCTTCCTCGGCTACAGCTCTCCAGTTGCTGTGTCGCATTGTGAAATTTGTCTCTAGTAAACCTCGCCAGGCAGAATAAGAATGACCACTGTTCTACACAACGACTATTATTCGTTTCGGTTAACTGGGGTTTCTTTTTTCCTTTTTTCGAAAACAGTAAAACGTGTTTACGTATTTTTTTAAAAAAGAGGTAAGAAGACGCCAATTCACGGGCCTCCACAAAACAGCCAAAAACGTGCTCCAGAGTAATGTAGCACGTGAGGTAATAGCTGCACAGCACACAAGCCTCGCGCTGCTAGGCGATCTTCCAGAAAGTATGTCCGCTCCTCTTACATTCGTTCGACAAATGACGGGAGCTCGGCGCCTGCGATACTCGGGGTAGGCTACCCCGCAGTACGCGCATGCACTGCGCGCAAGATGTTGCCTACCTGTCAGGCGCTAAGAGCAAAGGCTGAACTTTTTCTATATTTCATCCTAGTATCGCAGCACGGAGAACTTGCTGGAATTTATAGTAAGCCAAGTTAGTAATTTGGGGGATGAAACTAAGAGGCTCATTTCTCGTCCACACCTGTGTGTGGCCGGAGTAGAGCGGAGCAGAGAGAAGTGCCAATTGGTTTATGTGCGGAGGGACGGAGGATGCACATAGGTGGACTCTAGCTGATTTCTTCCCTTTTCTGCTTGTAGTCCCAGCGGCCAAGAAGAGGGCGGCCCTGACAGGGGACGACGAGGAGCCAGACCTCCAGGACAAGGAGCACATCAGCATCAGCAACTGCCCCAAGCCACCCTGCCGCCTGCGCCGCAAGTCCACCACCGTGGTCGAGTTCAGGTTCACTCCAGGTAAGAACACCACCAGCCACCGGGGCCACGACGGTTTAAACTTCGTCAGCGAGCCCGGATACGACAAACGAGTAAAAGCGCGCCTGTCCAAACCGGTTGTTGTGCCTGTCCTCCAATTTACCAACTCAACGTTCACGGTTTGTTTAAGTCATTGGCCCCCCTTACACACCTGTGCGACCTGCTCGCCTACTGCCCGAACATGACTTTCGTTTCTCGCTCGCCGCCCGGTCCAGCCGCGAGTCGCTGACGGCCGCGGGTGGTCGCGGGTGTGCGCGCAGTGGAGAGAGTTGGGCTGCCTACGCGCCGGGCGTTGAGTCGCTGGCAGCGGCTGGCCTGGTTGTGCGCTTGACACTTTCTGATCCGTGCACATCTTCGTAAACTTATATTTTCGGTACTGTTTCAGACAAGGACATCAAGACCTTGAAGAACGAGGTGAACGCCAAGATCCTGGGCATCCCCTTCCCCTTCCTTGGCGTGGACAACACAAACGCTTGCGGACAGATTTTCAACACCGACGGCTCCAAGGCGCCCTGCCCGCTCAAGTCGGGCACGGAGTACGTATACAAGAACAAGTTTGATATCCTGGAAATCTATCCTAAGGTGAGTTAATTATACTGCTGTTAGTGGATTCCACTTCTTCCTCCTGTCTCTCACGGGGGTCGACTCCTGTACGCTAACTGGTCAAGAGCTCCTGCGGAACTAAACCAAAACGCTTGTTTCACTGCTTGGCTCGTTGCAGGTCAAGGTGAACGTGCACTGGGCGCTGGTCTCCCAGAACAACGAGAGGGTCCTCTGCTTCAACGTTCCCGCCAAGATTGTCGGTTGACACGTCGATGCCAGACAGGCTGTATCAGCCTCAAGTTTGTGATATTTTCCCACATTTCGCCCATCGCAATAACACATTTCACCATGTTTCCAATTAGATTAAATGCTGTTTTTTTCTCATTTTTATCTCGAGCTTCTCAAAAGTACCCAAAATCTCCAAACACTAAACACACAAACTCAAACGGCGTGCCAATCACAGCTTGAGATTAAAATAATTTGGGACGAATAATTCGAGCGGGGAGCTCATGAGAAACCTTGCATAAAAAGGAGCGGTCTGCCGAGGTGGGTGGGTGGGGCGTTCTCCGGACGTGAACACCGGCGCTCCGGCGGCGCCCCCAAGAGCGCACAGCCTCCTGCTCATGCAGCGGCACGCAGGCACATCATTTTTATTTTCGGGGAGATGCTTCCGTATATTGTTGTACCAGGTGGTTAATTCGCCCGCCTACCGCCCGTGGTTAGGCTGTATACCGGCGAATAGGAAGACGTACGGCGCGGGCGGATTTGCCTACTCGCTCGTGGGCCGCAAGGCGCCGCGGCTAGAGACGATAGGTAAGTGCAGTCGAACCAAACTAAGGACGTCACCGCCACTTGTTTTAGTTGTTCGTATCATCGAAGGAGTGGCTGCCAGGGCGACGGGCCTGGACTCGAAGCCTGAGCATAACGATCTAACCGGCGATGTGGCTGGGATCCATGACCATGTTCAGCGCGTTCGTTACTGCCGCGGCCATATGAGGCTACTGGCCGGGATTACGCCTGGGAGTCGTTCGTGTGTGTTGTATACACGCGCGCGGCGGTGAGACGCCCTCGCTTCGACTTATTTATCCAACGCTAAAGCTGTGTTCTTCATCTAGATCACTTTGAGGAAAGGAATATCCTTAGGGTACGGAGATGAGCAAGAGGAGCAGGGTGTGGTCGCTCAGACGGGGCGACGGAGAGCAACAAGTTCGGGTGCTATGGTTACTGAGACGCGCCCTCCACGCCCGCCACGCCACGCCACGCCACCGCCAGGCCCAATAATGACAACTCGCTGGCGCCGTAACCGTAGCAATTAGCCGCGGCCGCGTTCCGCCCCTAGACTCGACGAGACGCCCCGCGCCACACCGACGCCTCGCGCCGCAACCCCGGGACACCGACCGACCGCCTTTGCACCAGGTAAGAGGCGCTCCGGACGCCAGCGACGCCCAGCAGCAGACTGCTGGCGACCTGCACCAGGACCCACAGGGCCGCGTGCTGTTCGAGTCCCGTCGCGGCGCGTACGGAACACGGCGGGTCGGCGGGTCGCGGAGTGAGGCTGGCGGTCGGGCGGGCGGGCGGCAGGCGCAGCGCAGCGCGGGCCGCCACCTGAGTCCTGAGCGTATGAGAACGCGGGGGAGGGAGGGGGGGAGGGGAGCTCGTGCGTTGTGTCCGACGGGTCGCCCCGGCCCCCCGGCCAGCACAGTCTACTAGGGCCGTTTGTTGCGAGACCGTAGCGCCTTACGTTCTGACGTAGCGCCCCGCCACGTCCCGCCACGCCCGCCACGCCCCGCCACTTCGCGGCCGTGTCAACAACCTGTCCGACCAAACCGTTTGCCTTGGGCGCAGCCAGCGGCAGTGCCACTTACTTAGCGCCGCGGCTACGCCACTTTTAAGCTGCACACGCGACGCTACGCGCGGAAGGGCGGGGTGGGGC